GTGAGTGCATCAATATGTCGCATCATTTGACTTTGTAAATTCCCTGTGTGCATGGATTTTCCCCATCTATTTGCCTCATCTAAGTGGGTCTTAAAGGCCTATCAACATAGTACCCACCTTCACAACTTCAAACTAAATCCTGAAGATGTTTTGAATTATATTGTTATTATTCAGGGAGAACACTTGATGGAGATCAATGGCAGCAATCTTTAAAGGTGTATAAAAGGCGTGGAAAGGAGGATTCTAAGACTCGAGCCTTAATTTGGCATAGGTTAGATGATGTGGGTCCACTTGGAGACTTGAACAATTGGAGCTTTTGGTCAAGTTGCATCATTTATGAGTTTGATGGGCATTATGCTATCAAGTCATGAGTTATGAAATTGAAGAAAGTTATTGATTACCTCAATTATAAGTTGAGTTCAAAAGTCATGAGTTAAGCTCCATGCAAGTCGAAGGGCATGAGCATAATCTTATAAAGGAATGGAGAGTAAGCTTGGCTGATCAGAGAATAATGAATAAAAATATCTTATGAAATTTCTTTGTGAGTGCTTCACAAAATATGAGGGTGTGAGACCTTCTCTAGTGTGATGCCTAGACCTGTTGGTGTGATTCCAACAGGCTGCTCTTATTTTATTTCTTTTCTCCTTGATTTTTCTACATTTCTACCATCAAACCTTCAAATTTCAACCTGGTGGTTTGAAATTTCAAAACTGAATTCTTTAAGTTTTACCTATTTAATACTGCTCTTGAAGTCCTACATCAGCACTTCTAGGGGAAGCTCATTTTCTATTTCCTCTACACTTTCCAGGAAATCGTGCATCACTTCTTCAAAAATTTAGGCCATCAAATCTGAATGTATCTACGTATGTTGCCCTCTATTTCTTCTGCTTCCCCCTCCTGCATCCAGTTAATATCTAAATGTTCTTAGGTGTCTCCAGAGAAGGTGGAAGATTTGAATTGAAATTTGTTGTATGACTTCTCATAAAATTTATCAGACAGACCATATCCTTAAATCCGATGTCAAAAAATTTATCTGCGAAGCTGTTCCATGACCAGTCTATTTGAGCCTCTAATAAAATCAAAAGTGCCTTTTTAAAATCATTTCCGCATCACACAAAAGAAAACCCTAATTTTCAAAGATTAATCAGGCCTAAAGATTCTATTACATTAACCTCAATAAAACCTGTTCCTGACAGTGTTCCAACCTTAATTAATCACCAATTTTCCTAACCCAAATAATTTAGTACTTGAATAGTCCACAAATATCTTATATATAACAGAGACTTGAAACCCAAAGGTTTTAACCACTCCATCAACAGAGTAAACCAGTAAACATAAAATTGTGAATATAAGAAAATAATAAATAATAAAATCTGTACCAATGTTGTTTTCTCTAGAGGACTTAAGTGATTTTTTTTTTTTTTTCATCAATGTTGTTTCCTTTTGTTCTTTGCTCTCTTTCCTAGTCCAGGGTATGTCCTGGACAAGGTTTCTATTTCCACTTTCTATCTCTTGTGGTCTCTTTGTTTTAGATCACTATCTTTTGGGCAAACTACAATGACCTCCCCTGAGGTTTGGTCTAATTGCAAATAAACCTGAGGTTTGTCATTTTTTTACAAAGACACCCCTATGTCAGAATTTGCTATGAATTTACTCATATACCCTCATTATTATATTATTAAAATGAACAAAATATCTAAACATATAAATGACTCTTTTACCCATTAATTTATATCCAATAAATTTTTTCCCCTTTTCCCACTATTCCTCTCTCCTCTCCACCAGCACCAACCATCACCACCACCCATCAGCATATATATATATATATATATATATATATATATATACAGAGAATCAATTCTAAAAATTCAGAGAACCATCCCAACAACGATGGCTGGGTCTGCAACGATGGCGGCAAGGATGGGGTTAACGTCAAGATTGATCTCGATATGGCGGCGACAAAGCCTGGTTTGGGGCTAACGTCAATTTCGACGATGGTGGCGTGGCCAATTCGGGAAATCGTATTTACTGATCACGGTTAAACTTCAATGAGTTGGGATTGGATTCGAGTCATCCATGAAAGTATTAGACGGACAATTAGGGCTTTGATTTGGTCCTTTTCAGCATCAGCAATTGGGGTTAGGTTTGGTAAATCGGGCTCGGTGGGCGGTGTAGGAACCCATCAAGGTTCAGAATGAATAGATTGCTGCCCGTCGGCGCAACAACAGCTCCTCCTCATCAAAAACGATTGTGACCTCCGGCAGTGTTTTTCCTTGGTTTGCTTATCTTTTGCGTGTATATATATCAAACAATTTTGGGGGATTAGCTGTTGATTATATATAGCAAATAATTTTCTCTTCTGCTCCTGGTTCGTCTCCTACATTGTCTCTGGCACCTTCTCTGGCGAACACTTCACCGGCCCTGGCGCCGTCAAGAATGCTATTAATGCGGCTGGGGAACCGTTGTCATCCGGTGAACGTGGGACATACTGCTGGAATTGTGTTTGAAGTGATCCTCATCGCATCTCTCATTGGGTTCGGAGAGTTCATGTACAAAAACGGCAGGAGAACATCAGGCCAGCTCAGTTCGGGTACACCACGAGGAGAGACCTTATATATATATATATATATATAATCTCTCAGTATATGAATCTTTTGTTATGATATGGAGTTGTTATACATCGATTTTGGGATGGTGATTTGTTTGATTCTTTAGTGCTAATAAATATTGAATGAATTCTTCTCTTTTTTTTAATATAATATTGTTTAAATACATTAGTCAATCAGCTGTTATTTGTTATTTGAATGATGCAGCTTCATTGTTAGTTCATTATCTTTCTAGATTTTGGTTTTGGATTGGGGTTGGTAGTGGTGGGCGGTGGTGGTGGATAGGGGGTTTGGATTGGAAATGGCCATGGAGTTGGTGGTGGTGGGGTGAGTGGAGAGCGAAAAAGAGAGGGATAGAGAAGGGTATTTTTGTATATTTTTAAATTGATGGCCTATAAGGATATTAGAGTCTTTTCTATTTAGTCAATGGGCAATTTGGTCACTTCAAATTAATTTTCTGACAAGAAATACTATTTTTTATACGGAGAGGAGGTCTTTGCAAAATCGGGCAAACCTCAGGGGGACACATTGCAAAAAATATGCAAACCTCAAATTTATTTGCAATTAGGTCAAACCTCAGGGGAGGTCATTGTAGTTTACCCCTATCTTTATGTACTTTAATGTTTATCAATAAAATTTTCCAGTCGGGAAAAAAATAAAAAAATAAAAAAAGGTACAGTCGCGACTCAGAAATTTAAGAGCTTCATGAGCCTCCTACTCCAGCCAATGAAGTCTTGCCAACCCTAGTCACATGACACATCTATAATACTACTTCATCTTCCCGCAATTGATATGGCTTCAGATTTCTATATAAAGCTTGTTATTGAGATTCAAATCATGATACATAAACTAAGTCAACTCCATGGTCTTACCATGGGGTTTCTTAAAGTGAGGATCTCTTTGCAATTTTAAAGAGCTACGCCTAAAAAAGGAGAAAGAAAAGAAAAGAGCTTACAGCCAGCTTAATTCAAAAAAGCGTCAACCCCAACTATTTCCTAATCAGCTCTATCATAACACAATTTTACTGACAATGCCATCATAGGGCTGTGGTAGATAAAACAGCATTAATGGGTTGGGTTTCAGTTACTACTAACCCAAGAAATACTGAAAATGAAAATAAATACTACTTTTTACATTTAATTTTCCTTTCAAGTTACTACTAATCCCCTTATACCCCAGGTCCCCTTCACCAAACTGTACTTCTGGGTTCTTTTAATGGAAGTAAAATTTAAACAAAATAAAATTCTCAAATCTCCACTAAGAAAAAAGACAAGAGTTTATGCATTCATTGTATCTGATGCACCAATAAACTTGCAGATCGTCAAGTATAATGAATTGCGTAACAGAGACAAATTTGACAGGACGTCCAAATTTGTTTATGCAGTAATCGTGACTGGGGAATCACTTCACTTTGGGAAATGCAAACCTATTGCCATTATTCAACGCTAGTGTAAAAGGTGGACACTTGAGTCCGACTAGAACTCCTGAGTACAATATTTATTTGCTATAATTATCAATATTTCAATCAACCACCACTATAACAACTGCTCCCAATCATGCATTAGCAATACACTGAGAAGTGTAGCTACCCACAAGATACCTTACTTTGAAATGATCCAATCCTCTTTTCCGTATTTCATGTCTATTAGGACAACATAAATGATAAAATCACTGTCAGAAGAGTTCATTGGAGATTTTATCAATTAAAAAGAAATATCCATCACAAAATTAAGAGTATATTTAAATGGAAAAAACTTGAAGCAGAAAAGTTGGCAATCAAAATTTGATAGAACCAAGAACAAACAAAACAAGAACTGCAATTGCTTTTGTTGCAACACAAATACAGTCATTCAAACAAACTTCTAATGAATTGTACATCAGAAGAAAATAAAAAATAAAAAAATTCACTCATGCAAAAATGTGCACAACTAATGAAAGTAATGGTTCACAACTAGGAGTTAGTGTTAAAAAATAAAAATTCAACATATGATAAATAACATACTCTGGTACTGAATCACAAAAAAAAATTGGCATCCCAGAAAACAATTACTGAAGTTAATTCATGCATATGCACAAAAGTGCCCACACACATATAAAAAAAAAATTTTAAAAAAAAAAATTTAAAAATTCCACACATGGTTTCTGACTTCTATTTAGATGGTTGTAACTTGCAAATACATATCAGCAAACTAAGCTTCAGATTCCTACATATATATACCAGCTAAAGTAATATTTAAATATCATCTTAAGCAGTCATTCCTTTGAGTTGGAAATAGTGAGCATAAAAGAAGTATTTTATTAGAGACTTTCCCAATATACGAAAAGTGAAACTTACTACTCATATCGTAATAATAAAGCATCAAAATTAAAAGGAGTGCAAGTGGAAATGCATACTGGTCGTAAAGGAAGACCCATGGAGTTAAAGCCAAAATTTGTTTTTGGCATGCTCGATTCTGGTGGATGATGATATCTACATGAAGATCCGAATTTGCAATCCCCCTTTTTCATGTAGTACTGACATTCAGGTTGGCCAGGTCTTTCTGGAAATGTGTGTTCTTTCTGGCTACCGCCTGATGGACCAGTGGAAGTATTAGGTCCTGCATAGGCAGGTGCTGAAGGAGATAATTGTGTAATCCCATAAATAGGGCCCCCTCCTGCATTGGGTTGAGTACCAGAAGAGGCTACGGCACTTCCTGGTGCCTGCAACAGGTGGGTTAATTACTTAATAGGAAATGTATAAACTTCAATAACTAGGAGAAAAAAAAAGTATATACTTCAACAAAAGTACTTGGATCAAACTAGAGTTTTTTTATACACCTACCGGATAAGGACTCCAACCCGGAACGGGAAACATTCCTGAGGGAAGCAGCATGGGAGCATAAGCCCCATGGAGATATGAACCTGGAAGCAAAGTAGGCCTCGCAACTGGCCAGTTACCAGTCACAACCCTATATTGTTGAGATGATGGAACAGGAGACTGTACCGTGGGATAGATTGCTGGTGCAAGCAAAGATGCGGCTGGAGGCAAAGGTCCAGGTGCTGGTGCCGGCACTTGTATGCCAGCTAGTTGCGGATGATGGAATTTACAGCTTACACCAAATTTGCACTGTCCAGTTCTCACATAGTATAAACACTCCTTTTCACCCTGTGACAAGAATTACATTTTTAGCCAACTTAATCACATCTTTCAACAAATAAATCCAAATAAACAAAGAAATAAAAGTTAAATTAAAAGAGTTGAAAATGCAGACCGGTCTTAGTGGGTATCCAGAAATATTAAGTGCCACTGGGCTCACAGCTTCACCTCCCTGACTTGGATGGTGGTACTTGCAAGAAGCGCCAAATTTACACATACCCGTCCGCATATAATACTGAAAAATGCGTTACAGCAGCATAGTCATTACAACAGGGCATAATTAACACAAAAGGAACTTACTTTTTTTTCATGAATGTCAAAACAATGGAAGGAAACAAAAAATTCATAATCAACAAAATAGGAACTCGTTCTTACACGAAACAGACAAATGAACAGATAAATGCACCCCACTAAGAATTTAGCAAACTATAAATTGTACAATTTCAAGCATCTGGAAAATACTCCAAGTTTGAGAAATAATCAGGAGTTCTTAAACCAAGTACCTTGCACACAGGTTGGCCCACTCGCTCTGGGTACTCCCCGCCAGCAGCTCTCATAGCTCCCACAGCCTGACAGTGTTTATTTATCAAATTTAACTAATGCATATCAATTTTGCAAGAATTACTTTCAATAACAAAGACCCTAATAATCTGGCCTCTTTCACAATACAGTAACATTCCAAAACTCCGCAATAATCAGACAATTCAACATCACAGAATGATGCACAAGTGGCATCAAATCTAACTATATACCCAATACAGATCACAGTAATTAAAATATCATAACGAATTATATGCAATCATCAATGATCAAATAGAATATTCACTAAAACCTTCTATTCTAAGCCATAACTTACACAAATTTGGACAGAACAGTATAAAATTTGAATACTTTACCACACTCCGGTCCCGGGGATGATTGAACCGACACCGTGCACCGAATCCACAGAACCCCGTCCTCAAAAAGTAGATACAATTGGCCTCGCCGGGCCGCTCTGGGTACGATTCCCCTCCACCGCCCAATCCCAACTGCCACATAGGCTCTGCATTTGCGAAATCAACACAAAACCCAATTCACAAAACACTCTACATTATTGAATTCACCACGAATCCACATCAATGCAAGCGAAATTTCATTGAAATTCGGATGAAATTGAAATGCAGAGACACTGAACTCACCTTCGAGCCCTGTTTCGGCTCCTGGGGAGCTCCATTCGGCCAATGGATCGGACTGCGACCCCTCCATTACTGGTGTCTGACCATAACGCTCCATTGCACAGACTATATTTGTATATACAAAATGATATATACGTCAATATATACGATATAAATATATAGCTATATACAGATATGTATAACCGTGGAGAGGTTGAATGTTGTGTGAGGAATGGAAGGGTCCGATCGAGCGAGAGTGATGTTTTAGAGAGAGAAAGAAGAGGTTTTGAGAAGGGGGGAATGGTTTCGAAGCTCTCTATCACTGTCTTTGGTCTGGTTTTCTCTCACTTTCTCTCTCCTCTTTCGCACTCTGAAAGTGTATTAGCTCTCTCTCTCCTATTTCGCTCAAAGCGTTCGATCTTTTCTGAGAGCTTTGGGTGCAATTTTTTGGTCTTTGTTGGTTTATTGTACGCGCCAAACAGAGGAGTAAATTAACGGAGTTAGGAAGCGTAACAGGTGATAGAAACCACTTCGAACCCATCGTTGTTTGTTGAAATGACAGAATTGACCCTGTACTTGTTGTAAAATGCTATCACTGGTCATTTTCCGAAGATATTATGGGATCTCAAATGTAGAATCGTAGATCGCTTCTTGACATAAGGCTGAAAGAAAAAAATGGATAGTCTTTTTGTTTCGATTTTCTCAAAATAGTTTATAATTTTTTACAAAATTAAAAATAAATTTCTTTTTTATGCAAGATGGTGAGAAAAATATACTAGGGACATAAATAAAATAGTAATAATACTCTCACCTCTCAAAATTCTTGTCTAACTTTCTACCTTGAGATATTTTAAAATACATGTCTCATTCCAAAAAAAGTACATATTATTTTTTATCACATTACTAAACTATCCTGACTTGATTAAAGAACTGCAACTGTTTTTTTATTTAAATAAGAATTTTTTTTTTTTTTTTTGCAACTAATTAGGGAATAATACTCCTTTATCTTTAAACAATGATACATTTTAAAATTTTAGCTTATCAATACAATAAAAAAGTATTAAAAACTCACTAACATAAAAAGTTAAATTCCACAAAAAGCCCATAAATTTTGGAACATATTGAATATAAATTTAGTATTATTTTACCGAAAATAAAGTAATGCTCCTTGATGAATGTATAATTTAAATACCCGTAGATAGGAGAAAATCGTTACAGTCTAAGATAAGGATTACAGGTTAAGATAAGGATTACAGATTACGAACGATAAGGATTAAGATGACGGAAACTCTACATAACATCTTGACTTAAGCCCTATAAATAGAGGGGGCTAATCGACATTTAGAGGTACGCAATAAATCCTAATTCAATTTCTTGATTTTTCCAGAGAGATTACTTCTCACACTGACTTGTTCATCGGAGCCTACTCCACCGATAACACACTGGTGTTTGTAGGATCATTTTTTTTTTCTTTATTCAGGAAGTCAGATCAGATCCGGGTTGTGCAGAATCCATCATTAACACTCCTAAAAGAATCCTCTCATAAGAAGAGTCATAAACTCTCCCTTTTTAGCTATTGGATTAAAAGATGTATTAAATAATAATAAAATGTTAAAAGTCATAATTGTTGGAGTGCAGCTGATGCAAATGAGCATCTCTTCTGTCATTGTTCCTATGCAAAAGCAGTTTGGCAGGAAATCTTTATTTTACTAAGAATTGACATGCCAGTGTTCAATTCTATTTGGGATATTGTGGACTAGTTTGTTAAGCAAATTTTAGGCAGAAATATCAACACACAGATTTTATTTGGAATTTTTGCAACCTCTATTTGGAAGATCTGGAATATGAGAAATGGTATTCTTCATGATGTAGCCCAAGATCAAGCTACATATGCTGTCAAGACTATTGTGTGGGAAGTTTTAACTTTCCTTAATTTTAGTCTAGAAGATTTTACTCTTGTTTTTTAAATTTCAATGTATTTGCATTTTCTTGTTTTTACTAGTATTTACTGGAAATGGACTTTTTCTAACTCTTGATTTGTAAAAGGAGGTATGCCTCCTTATGCACTTGTATTGTTTATTCTTTGTTTATAACACAACTCCATTCAGGTAAAAAAATAATAATAATAAAAATGTTCAAATCCAATAATTTGACCAATGATTAAATAGGGAGAACTCATGCCTCTTTTCATGAGAATTTCCTCTTAGGAGTATTATTCTAGAAAATAAATGAAAATTCAAACTCAAAATCTTGAAATTGTGAGATAAGAGTCTTATAGTAGAAAGCATCCTGAATTCACTTATGCTGTATTTGGTGTGCATGAATGGAATGGAATGCAAGTGTGTATGGAATGAGAATGGGAATGGAATGAAATGACCATTTTCATACTATTGTTTGGTTGTAAATATGAAATGTGTAGGAATGGAATGATAATAACCATTCTAGTGTTTGGTTGGACTAATTTAAAATTTAGAATGGAATAAATTTCAAATTTAATTCTCCAAAATATCCCTCTTAATAACAAATAAATTAAATTAACAAAATGACATTCTCTAATAAAAAATAAAAAAATTATATAAATGGTGGCAGTGGTGGTGGCGGATGGTGGAAAGCGTTAGTGGTGATATTAGAATGCGGCGGTGGTGGCAATAGTGGAAGGTGGCGACAGCGGTGGCGGTGGAAGGCTGTAGTGGTGTTGGTGGAAGGTGGTGGCAGTAGTATAATGGTTGTGGTGGAAATCAATGGTGGTCGTGGAATGCAGTGGAGGTGACGATGGTGGAAGGTGGTGGTGGTAGTGGAAGACAATGGCGGTAGTGGTGGTAGAAGGTGGTGGCGGAGGTGGAAGGCAGCAGTGGTGATGATGCAAGGTGGTGGAAGGCGATGGCTGTGGCAGTGGCGGTAATGAAAGGCGGCGGCGACAATGGCGGTGGTGAAAGGTGGTGGTGGTGTAGGGCAAAGGCGGTGGCGGTGGTGGTGGTGGAAAATGGTAGTGGTGGTGAAATGCAGTAGCGGTGGTGGCAGTGCTAATGGAAGGTGGTGGCTATGGTGAAAAGTGGTGGCGGTAGTGGTGGTGGAAAGTGGTGGCGGTAGTGAAAGGCGATGGTGATGGTAGTGGTGGTGGTGAAAGGCAATGATAGTGATGCTGGTGGCGGTAGCGGTGGTGGTTGTAGCAAAGGGTGGCGGTAGCAGCGGTGGTAGTGGTGGTGGTGGTGGTCGAAAGTGGTGAGCGATGGTGAAAGTTGGTGGCAGTGGTAGCGGTGGAAGGCGGTGGTACTAGTGGTGATGGAGAAAGACGGAGATGATTGTGATGAAAGGTAGTGGTAGTTTTTAGACTTGAAATATGAGGGTTTTTTGGAAAGTTGATTTTTTTTATAAAAAAATATATATATTACTTGGGAATGGAATGGCCATTCCATAGGTTTAGTTTTGGAATGGATTTTCATTCCCGAATGAATTTTCATTCTAATGGAATGACCATCCCCACTTTAAATTCCATACCAAACAAAGAAATGGTTGAAATGGACATTCTATTCCATTTCATTTTTGCACACCAAACATAGCATTAAGGTGCTGCGGCGACGTCGAACACATATCGGATACAGCTCAAAGTGTCCTAAATTTTGAATATTTAATTTTTATCTTAGACACGAGATGGATATGAGCATGACATGTTTTGAACATGACCAAGTAGTTTTGTAATTTGTTTTTTTTTTTATTATTTGTAGAAAAATGAGATTCAAGGTAATATAAAATATATTGTGGATTAAGTAGAAAAATAATGTAAAATTTTAAAAATAAAAATAACAAATATCTAACTCTAAACTTCAAATTGGTGATTCCATAGATGAAATGAATACAAATTATTACTTTTTAAATAATAATATTATGTTTTGACATATTCACGTCATATTTGTGTTTTAATTTTTAAATATTTATCATTCATCCTCTTGTGCCACAAATGCTACAAAGGTTGGTTGCACCATCTTTCCCTCGTGGACTTAAACTTTTAATTTGGCATGTTGTATGTGGAATGATCATAAATTTATGATAAACTTTATCTATTAATGTATTTGCCTTAAGATAAATTTTGAGTGCGGCCTTTATAGTAAGGTGTCCTCGTGTGCTCACAAAGAACAATTTTGGACATAGTTAAGAAATATTTTTTCTTTTTTTAATACATGTCCAAAATGACTTGTTGGGCAATGTAACCATTCAAGCACCAATATTTCAAAATCTTTGGAGAGGATTTTATACTCTCGTAGGACCTGAATTCTCTCTGCTACAAAGTAGGGTTGTAACTCGGGCAGGTTGGAAATATAACTTAAGCCCAAATCGATATATAAAATGTTTAACCCGAGTCCAACTCTAACTCTATTTTCAACCCTAACTACCCAACTTGAGCCCAGCCCATCATTTTACTTTTTAAACTCAAGTTTGTAACTCTGGCTTAAATTTTGGGTTAAAAAGTCGAGTTAATTCGGGTTGTCCATATGGACAATTTGATTAAATTACTTTTAAACTAAAAAGTTTTAAAATATTGGCTAAATTGCAGTGACACGTCCCATGTTTTCCTAAAAGACGGGTAGATATAACTTGAGCATTTTTTGGACAATGACACCCCCCCAAATTTGGTAAATTGAACAAAGACACCCCAACATGATGAAAATACATATTTACCCTTTGACCACCTACAATGACCAAAGTAACCTCAGTAAATATGCACACATCACATGTATACTTCTTCTCTCTCTCCACTCACCAGTTACTATCGCAACCTCCACAATCACCACTCACCAGTCACCACCACCACCCTCAACCTCCATAACCACCACTCATCAGTCACCCCTACCACCCTTAACCACCATCTTCTTCGTCGTTCCACCATTACCACACAAAACCCAACAACTCAAATTTACACACACACATATACATATATACAAAACAGGGGTTCAAATTATACACATATACCCACAATTTTTTGCGTAGCAAAACCCATCAACTCAAAATCCACCGATTGCTACTTCATACTCATCGACGTAAACAAGTCCCTACAATTTCTAACGACGATGGAAGAATGAGATTGGCCCAATTGAAACGTGATGTATCATTCGACACCGCCAAAGGCTTTATCATCTGGTCCCATCTGCGAACCATCATCGTGAACCCATTATTCGACACCATGGAGGGTTTCATCATCCCATTTATCGAATTTTTCATCGGCATTGGTGTCGTGTTCCAGGTTGCATCGGCCATCGCATTACTCATCATCATAACCCATGATACCGAGCCTTCCATGAGCCTACAAGTGCTTAAGCTTGCCAGTAGCGTTGATATGGTCGACGCCGTGTCGCGGTTCTGCCAAAAAGGAATATGCATCTGTATATGCTCACCGGTTCAGGCGTTGTAGCGAATGTAACCTCAAACAATCGTCGATCACTCCCGGAGCTACAG